GTGATGATAGTTTACAATTCACGAATTTCTGCAACATCTGCCTGGTATGTTCTCTGTGGTGTAGGTGCGGTTAAACCACTATGTCACAATATTCAGGCGATGGTTCTGGAGGTTTTTGTTCGAAGGGGTCCTTATTCAAGGAAGGTTTTATAACCACCCGTATTTTGTTCTAGAACTTTTCGTAGAACTCACCTCCAACGAACACCCAATGGACATCCTAAATTATTCAACACATTTGCTTACCAAATTTGATTCACGTGCTTGTAGAAGAATGATGTTTTCACATTAACATCACAATACTGGTTTATTTGCATAATTTTATTTTGCGATGTGACTGGTGGTTCGTTGGTTGTAATAGCCTCTAATATTTCCCATTGTATTGTGGATCAGTCCCACCCTCAATAGGATTGAACTAATTCAGGTTCTTGGGCACACCCAGGCCAAACCATTCCTAATCAATTTTTATTTCTTCATTATATTCAATATAAGATTTGAACTTGGTAGTAACAAAGTAATATACATCATACAATACATGTGTTCTCTCTTTAAAAAAAATAACTGTCGGTGATTCAAAGTTATGGTGTACTTGTATGCTTACATTGTGTGTATCACCAGGGTCGTATACACATTGATATACACTTATTTATGTTCACCAGATGTTTTTATGTTAAAAATAACTGTAGACTGTTAATTCAGGTAATCACAATGTGTTTGAAAGTGACGTTGCTCATCGATGTGCACGTTAGGTTTTTTTACATCGAGATAGCAGTGAAGTTGTACATTGACCTTATTTATACGTGATATTTTGTTGTCATATTCCGAATATGTGAAATAATAAATGGTAAACGAGCTGCCATGGTTCCCGGTTTAGACACATATGTTACTGTCTTATTAACAGAAGAGGTCATTATCATGATGTTGATTTAATACGCGTAGTTAAAATACTTGGTAATAAAATAGATATTTGTGGTCGGTGTGTTTCTTTCATGATTATTTTTACTGTCTGTGATGTTAAATATTATTTGCAATGTGTTACCAGACTGTAGCTATATAAGAGTCAGGGAAATCAACAGTGTCAACACATTGACATAAAAAATCCAAGCAGGTCATCGTTACACTTGAAGAACGCTCTATAAGGGTTTGAATTTATAAGGTAAGCACCGCTCACTCCACATAAGTTGCGTGTACGTCTTCCAATATATATTTCTAATATAGCTCAGTACTTATATCACATGCCGGCAATTTGTTCTATGAATTAATGAACCACGCATGCGCGGTTAATTACTAAGACGTACTTCTTAACTCTATAATTGACGCGTTGTATATTTATTTGCGTGTCGTGTAAAATGGTGGGCTCGATTTCTGATCACGAATTTCTCGTTTAGAGAATAGTGTTCTTCGAAGAGTATTTAATGTATTATGTCTGTGTCCTTGGTGTGCGTCAAAATAAAATAAATATTAGTTACGCGGTATAGCTGTGTGTATCACTGCATGGTGTCTCCATATATTGTATAATTTACAAAAACATGTAAAAAACGCATCATCGCAAGTGTATGAAAAGGTAGGCGAACCAATAGAACAATATACATGTATTAAAACACTCAACGTTATCATTTTTGGTTATTTATTGACTATTGCATTTATGACTGATAACAATCTAGACGCACTGCTGTTGGTACGCACGCATATTTCCCAATTATATTAATAACATTGAGTTTAGATGAAAGGCAAAAAAACAATAAAATTACTCACAGTGTCATTTGACACGTAGGTAGTAAAAGATGTATGCCGTAATTACATGCATAAAGAAAAGAATTTATGAAATTAATTAATTTATAACAATCAACTATAAATCAGTATGGTTTTTAAAGCAGATCCCGTGCATCTTTTCACATGATATTTGTTTCTTTAAATTACCAATGTCACAAACGAATTATTACACCAGCACCACCCGCCGCCTACACCCACCCCCCACCCCCCACACACAACCGCCAAATGAACTTGCAGTGCGCCGTAAACTGAGAATCATATTTTCGCCGACGAATCGCCGCTGAAATATTGCACTGTACCATAATGAGCGGAGTAAATATGACCGCTATAATGTTGATGTATATTAAATATGTTATTTTCCCGCGGGAACAGTCGACTGTGATAATCGCTGGGTGTACTGTATGACCAAGAGACGGTATGACCCGCAGTGGTATGAACACAATCATAGCACGGGTGGTATAATGTGGAAAAACCGCAAACTAAAATGAAGTCTAATTTCATTGAATATTATATTGATATATCTGATATGATATTTAAAAGTTTGCCCATAACTCTGGTAAAATCCAATGACACAATAATGTCAATTATACGTAGACATTTTTGTTCATCTGTCATTTCATTTAGAATTAATAGTTTCACACCCAACTCAACAATGTGTATTCTTGTAGGTGTAATATTTACATTTACATCATAGTAAAAAAATTATTGAAATTATAGATCAAACTTACCAACGGCATCTCCAGTAGATTCGAAAACTATTATTATTGTGATTTTTGTTTTCAAATATAGATAATGAAAGCTGCAGTGTACGCATTATTTGTATGTTTGGTAGTGGTTGGGGTGATCACCATGGTAACGGATGCAAAGTCTCGTGGTGGATTCTCGCCTGAATGCGAGATGCTTTAACAATTGCATGATGGAGGGAAGAAGACTCATTGACTGTGTCAATACCGACTGCCAGCAATGCTACGATGACTTCTTCTAGGCACGGCGACGTCTTACCAAAGCCAGAGAACTATGTGTCCATTCTGAACGCCCACTACTCTGCTGTTGTAATGCTTAAAATATATTTAATTTAACTCTTCTGAGTTGAGGTGAATAAATATAAATATATATAAAACATGTGTATGTATTTATGAGTTATGACGTAATTTGGACTACAAACTATGCGTACATGGAAATGATTTGTGGTCCTCTTCGTGTAAAAAGATGCATCATTGCTGAAGACCCCTGGTTATGGTTAATGTGCAATAGCTTACTTGTTTGGTTGGCCCCGGGAGTTAAATTCTTAAATTTTACATTCAGATATATCAATGATGTGCCTTCCATTACTAATCGTATTTCTAAGGATGATATTACAATGTATGGCTGTGCAGATGTGCTTCTTTGTTTGACGTCAGCGCCCTCCTACGATTCTGTCGATTTTTGTGGGGAATAAAGGCAAGTATGCAAATAAGGTCATCCAGGGTCTACGACCTGCGAGATATGTTTTTTGTTGTGGCAAATATACCATTTTTGATATGTTTATCGTGTTCGACAACCTTTATTGATAACATTTTATGCGTTTTGATTTTTTTCTATCAAATTGCATTATTCATTTGAACCTTGATGCTGTATCCCAAAATAAATGAGATATCCAATGTGAAACAAAACTAAATCTAGAAATATCCTTCTAGCAACTTTATACTTTTTGATATGGATCAATCATCAAATACATTTTGTCTATACATTGCGCCCTCTAGCATCGAAACACTTATGTGACG